CTCTTCCCTGCCTATCCTGCACACCAGTACGTGGCGGTCTAAAGCTGCTCGTAGTGGCTGTCCCTTGCTTGTGATCCCCTGCCCCCCCATCTACAACCCTAAAAAAGGCTCTTGACTTTGGATAGATCTTTCTTTGGCAAACTTGCGAGCTCAACTGATGAAACGGCGTTGAAGCATATACAGAGATAGAGCTAGCACTATCCTAAGAAGCTTGTATCATACATGCTTCTAACGGGTTGGACCATGCTTGTTGACCAGTGTGCGGCGTCCAACCTTAGCAATGTGTTCCATCCAATGAAGCGCGTATCATACGTGTATGATGCATGCTTCACGAAAATGTTTCACCAGTGTGCGGCCAGCCTTAGGCGTAACTATCAGGATAGCTCGGACGAATGCTGTTCTTTGGATCCTGATCGATTGTTTACTTTTCTCCAGTAAACGATGTCCTTGACATAGCCCACAAGAAAAAGTCCTCTAGGGTTAGTTCAGGTGATCTTGGTGGCCATGGAATGAACCTGCTTTGTCCAATTCACAGATCCGTTTTCATTTCCATGCCTTAGCTTGCTAAAATGTGGAGTTGCAACATCTTAGAAAATTAGACTTTATTGTGCCTGAACCTATCCCTCTTGGATTTTTTTACTATTATGGGACTATGTCAAGGACATTGTCAACTTTTCTTGAGTAAGTAATCTTCAATCTGATCTGAAGAACAGAATTGATGCAGCTATCCAGACAGTTGTACATGACACTCTGCGTAAGTTGTGGTAAGAGCTTGAATATCGTTTGGATGTCTAAAGAACCACAAATAGTGCCTGTGTGGAATAGCAATAACAGGTTGAAAAATGTTTTAGTTGCACTTCATTTTACTGTTTTCATTTGAGGCATAATTTAGTGAGATATTAATTTTGAAATGCTTCCATTCCTTTTGGGACACCTTGTATTGTCCAAAAGGACAGTGGCCTCAAAAGCTCACAACCTGCTCATCGACCGTCACATTGGGATTAGCCTCATCCTAAAGTTCAAACATACTATTTCCTCAGCATAGGAAAATGTTCAACTGTCACTCTCTTGTTTTGTTTTTAGGATTTGCTGGAGGATCATGATTTGCAGAAGACAACCTGGCATTCACGGGAAATAGTTTCTTCTCTTTTGAGGAAGATACTGGGCCTAGACCAGGGTTTGATGCAGCAAGGTTCCATCAAAGTCTTGCTTACGTTGTATGAAAACTTCCTTGTATGCATTCTTCTTGATGAGTCTTTGAAGCAGTCAGACTTGGATGATTTACATGTTGTTACGGCACATCTCCTTACTGCAGGTCATTTTTATTCCTTCCTATCATTTTTCCCTCATCAATGATATGTTTGCCAGCCCAGAAGCAAAATTTGAAGCTGTTTTCTCACATTTATGAAGCAATTAATACAATAGCACTTTCACTCTTGCAATCATTAAGAGCTGATATGTTTTGTCTGTCAAAGGCATAGAAAATGCTCTGCCTGAATATTGTATTTACATTTATATGAAAGGAATATGTTTATAATGAAATGGCTGAGATTTTAGATTTATATTTGGCTTGCATAAGAATGACACTCCTTTTCACATTGTTTCTCTTCTCTTGCTCCATTTACATGAGACATTCCCTTGGTTTTAATTGTGAAGACAGTGGGTAATACGTGACTGTATTTGGATGATTGTTCATCAGTAACTGTCTTTAGGAAACAAGTTTCCAACTATCGTCTTTGTTACTTGTTGAGGTAGAAAATGCTCCCAAGTGATTCCCTTCCTCTGACCATCTCATTTAAATGCTGGCACTGAGAGTATTTCTCAGGTCAATATTAATTCTGAGACATTGCTCAAAAACTTCCATTAAAAAATACAACAAAAAACAGCCTATCCATAGCCAAGTGTGCTGTAAAACTGGAATAGAAGCACTGATTTCAAACTATCCCACCCCATCAACAGAACCTTTGTCAATAGAATTAGAATTGAGTTCTCTGGAAAAAAAAAAGTGCCCATAAGCCCTTTTTCATATCCATGTTTACGCACTACATTAGGATATGTGCAACAGGATATAGTGATGTTGAAATCATTCAGATGTGTTTGCAGAAAAGGAAAAGCAATTTTCTCTGTGCTCCCACTAAATGGTAGGCACATGTCAAGTTGTATTGTTATGGCTGCTAGTTGGGAGGAAGGAGAAGAAGGAAAGACTAATCACCCAAACCTATGGAAGGATGCCTGAGGGAAAAAAAAAGGAAAAGTTGTGGTGCTTATGTTGGGAAGACCAGGACTGGCATGAAAGTGTTTCCAAATGCTCCAATTTTACTTGTCTCTTTAAGAAATGGTTCTGTATAACCTACAGAGGTAAATTATAGGTATTATTGTTCTTAAATGGGAAATGACAACTGAAAGAATGGCTGGGAAAATTCTGATAGTGTGGATATGGAAAAAGGGTGTATATACAAAAATATTTTCTGCTTGCATCCTGAGAACTTGAAATAAAAAATTTTGCTTAAGCCCAAAGTTTAAATAAGGATCAACTGAGGATGTTATATCATTGAAAATTGGATTCAGACTGGGTTGCACATGAACCATGAGGATATTTTGCTATGTATCTCAAATCGTACATGAGCCCTTTTTCTAGAGAACTCCTCAATTTATCATAAAATTTCAATAGAGCTAACACATTCCAACTCCTGTGTTGTGGTGATTGGGGTAGAGTTTGGAGGGAAACTCTGAATTTCACATTTGTATATGAATATGGAAAAATCATATGATTTTTTGAGAAATGAGCATAGGCCTATATGGTATGTGGGACATACATGGCCTATCATAGCCTATCATATTATATGAACATTTATGGGAAAAAATCTGATCATATTGTCTTATAGAAACAATGAGTATATGATTATATATGGCAAGGCCATATAAGAATTTTATAATATGCATTTATGTAGAAAATATGGAGGAGCAGATAAGATACTTGTATGATTTATTGTGTCTATCTAGCACATAGTGGGGCATATATGACATACCTGATAAGAGACATGGCCAAATCAGGTATGGAACATACAAGAAATAATGATACTCTCACGAATCCCTCCCTAATATAAAAAATAAATTCAGGAACTAAGCTGAGAATTGGAACTTCATCTGTCACTTCTGTGAAAATACCGAATCCATTCACTTCCACCACAGCACAAATACATCCCAAAGATATCCCATAGATAACTATTAGGGACTACTCAGCAATATAAAAATAACTGGGTGCCTTTCTTTCTGAAACAGACTCATTTCCTGCCATATGGGACAACCATTTATTTTTAAAGGGTTTTTCCATGTGGTTTTCGTTGACTGAAGATGTCTAATATACAGGGTGATCACATGAAACCTTTACAACTTAGAATAAGCCTAGCTTACAAATTGGGCAATATCATTTTGAAGCAGATTTCTGCATATTGTTAAGCAACTCAAAAAGTTTATTACAGCAGATTTTTTGTGTTCCAAGCGACTGCAGGTGATTGAACAACCCCAAAACCCAAAAATGACAACACCACAGGAAAAGGCGCAGTGTGTAGCATGGTTCATAGAAACAAAATCGGACGTTCAGGTTCAATGTAATTTTCAAATGAAATACCAAAGGACACCACCAAGTAGACCAGTGGTGCCCAACCTTTTCAGCTAGGGGACCACATAGCTCACTCCCGCAGCCATCATTGACCAATCGCTAGTATTGTAGGAGACTATTTTAAGGAAACCTAAGGGTATTTATTGTGGGTTAGGGCTTTGCGGGCCACTTGTAAGCACCTTGCGGGCCACTTTTTGCTTGCGGGCTGTGGGTTGAGCACCACTGAAGTAGACCATTGATACATGACTGGCATAAGTTCATGGAGACCAAAAGGATCCTACAGTAGCCAGGGTCTGGGCTTGCAAGTGCCAAAGATGTGGAACAGATCTGGCAATCCTTTTTGTGTAGTCCTCGGAAATCCACACACAAATGTGCCCAGGAATTGCAGATACCACAACCAACGGTGCACAAGGTGCTACACAAGCGCTTGAAGCTACATGCATACGACATTCAACTTGTACTGATGATTGTCAGTAATGCTACATATTCGCCAAGGACATAATGGAATGGCTAGATGAGGACAATAGATTCCATAAAACATGTGGTATTCACTGATGAGGCTACCTTCTTTGTCTCAGGGCATGTCAATCACCAGACCCTGGCTGCTGTAGGACACTTCCGGTCTCCATGAACTTCTTATGCCAGTCACATATTGATGGTCTACTTGGTGGTGTCTTTTGGTATTTTGTTCGAAAACTACGTTGAACCTGAATGTCCGATTTTGTTTCAGTGAACCATACTATGCACTGTGCCTTTTCCTGTGGTGTTGTATTATTACACTACCCCATTCAGAAATTAGGCTCATTCTAGGTTGTAAATGTTTCATGTGATCACCCTGTACATCTCTAAGAAGTCCCAAAGTCCCTTGTGAGATGTCAGAAAAGCATCCGACTGAAGATGTCCTTAAAATATCCCATAAAGACCTTGGGACAAGTTGTTCAGTGGGGGGACCATATATTTTATACTGTACCTTATGCATATGATATATATATTTCTAGTGATATATTGTAATGAAAGCATGCACACTGAACATGTAAATACAATAAATAAAAGTCCTTTATAAAAATCATGTACTTAATCCAGATACATCACATATGCAGGAGCCCATCCTTCAATTCACAGAATTATTTTACATAGAATGTATATGCAACCTAGGGATGTTTAATATATGAATAATCCTTACATGGATCATATGCTTCAACCATATATGCCCTTATATGTGTGTGTTCATACATGAAAAATATACGAATTTATAATGTAATTGCATATAACTAACATGAATGATCTTTCTGTAGGGGTTGTATCTTCCCATGTCTTAACATTGTATTGGTGGTGTTTTGTGTAAGGGTGCTTAATATCTCTATTGAAAATGAAATGCTTTGAGAGCCTATTTTAGAATGCCCTGTGGTCAGAGAGCCCTCTTCATTCTCCTTCATTCTTTTTATAACTCATGACAACTCTTGAGGATCCTTACAAGGGCAATCAATGAAGGATGTATTTATTTATGCTCTTAGTTGCTAATTGAGTGAAATTATTTTCTTCCCATTATTGTGGTTATCCCTTTATTAGCCATATTTTCATTGTGTCCCTGGCATATGTCATATTGGACACTAGCCAGTACCCAGTCAAAAGACTGGACTTTAAACAGCTTTTGCCTTCAATAAGAATCCTTGTCTATTTTCTTCGTTAAAGAAGATGGGTAAACCACCTCTCCTCCTCTTTCCATTCTCCTCCCTGTTTCCACTTCCCCTTTCCTTACCTCTTGCCCTCCCCCTCTTTTCCCCCCTGCGTTAGGTTTGAGAACCCCATTTTCACATTCCAAGAAAATGTGAGTATGCTATTCACACAGATTCCAGCTTATCTTCATCACTGATCCTATTATAATTACAACCAGCACTTTCATCCTCCCACGGGCATTTTGTCATGCAGAGCTACATTGGTAGTTTATATGGAAGGAAGAGTTACACTGTAACATAAGAAAGCAAGCAAGCAAACTAGTGTGACGTGCAGGCCCTACACTAGTGATCCATGGAATCCCCCATCCTTGTCCATGTGAATCCTTGCATGTACTTTATTATATATGATTCAATAATTATCAAGTTTGACAGGCCCAAGGCCCATGAATGCACCTTCACTCTGGAATTTCAACTAACCCTCTCTCCTATCTAAGCCCCACCCCCACCCCACCTTTACCTCATCCTTTGGGAGTCTCTTTGGAGCTCCACTACTTGGGCTTGGCCTTTGCCATTGTGGTTCTTTAATGTCCCACATCTCAAGATGGGAGTGAAAAGTGCTCAGGGCTCTCCCTTCTCAAGCACAGTTAGATCTGTACTTGGGGAAAAAAGTTGTTTCACTTGTCTGTTTCAAACATGGTTCTCCTGTTGTGGTTGCCAAGTATGGTACTAATTGAGCTGCCAAGCTTATGCAACCTGTCACAGAAAATCAATCATAGCTCCTGAACACATTCACTGCTTATGAGTCACAGTGACTCATACAGCCTACCGGGTTGTAACATATATTCCCGCCGTTTTTATATTTTGTTTGTTTTCACTCCATATTTTTTAAGTTTGGCAAAGTGGATATAGTCATTCGAAAGAGCGTTCTTTCCTCTACAAACATATTGCCACCATTTTTCCGAATAACTTAATTTTACTTAACTTTCAGGTATTTGAAATGGAAATACCAGGCGGCAAGAAAACCCATTTTCGACACTTNGCACACACGGCCAGGAAAACTCAGAAGTGGCTTGAGGATAACTTTTTTGACCATGTTACCCCTGATATGTGGCCTTCAAACTCACCTGACTGCAATCCTCTTGACTATTATGTGTGGGGCACAGTTGAAAGGATCACTAATAAGACTGCCTGTAACAATAAAGCTGAGCTGAGGGAGAGAATCTGCCAGGCATTTCAAGATTTGTCTCCTGAGATTGTAAAACGCGCCTGTTCTCACTTCCGAGGTCGTCTGGAGGCTGTGATTGATGCTGAAGGTGGCTTTATTGAATAAGTTCCATCTATAAAGCACTACCTTGCTCTTGTTTCTGGAATTTTCAATAAATGTTTAAAATTAGAAATTTTAGAGATAGTTTTCCTTAATGTATTTTCCACGCCAATTCTACTCGCGCACCCTGTATAAGCATTTTGGTCCCACAGTGAACATGTTAAGATTTATGCAACACACCATGAAAGAGATATGGAACTTTATGAAGGTTAAAATCATCTATTGTTACCCATTTTGCTTGGATTCAATGAGTGAAAAGGAGTTCCAAGATAAAACAAAAAACTGCATTATTTGCAATATTTGCTGCATTATTTGGACTATGATATGTGTTTCATCATGTTTGATTTATTTTCATTTTAGATCTTTGAAGGTGTTCATAATTTTCAGGCTGGCATCTGCTTTTTCTCTTGTTGTTTCTTCTTAGTGTAATTTTTAGACCTGGGTGCGGCAATGTTAGGCCTTTGTATAAGATCTTATGATGATTCTTCAGCCCAGTTTCTTGGTAAAGCTTGTGGTAGAAAGTATTTACTCAATGAAATTGTTTAATCTTTGTTTATTATCCTTTAATTGGTACTGATCCTTGGTTTTGTAGACAAATCCACAAAGACAAATCAAATCAGTTTATTCAGCACATGCTATAATACCATGATTTCATATCTCTATGTCAGGGGTGTCAAACATACGGCCCACGGAGGTGGTTCATCTCGCCTTGTGTTTTCGAAATTTCTGCTTTGATAGACTATCACCACAAATTTCAGTGGAAAATTATGGGTGTGGCCCACAAGCATCTGCATGGTAGGGAATGCGGCCCTCCGACCGATTTGAGTTTGACACCCCTGCTCTATGTCATCTTTTTATTTATTTTATTTTATTTATTTTACCCTTCAGGAATGATCTGTATTTGCTGTCAGCATGGGATGGTTTTCTCTTTTTTCTAATATTTCTCGAATACATTTAGCCAGTGAGCTCCAAATCCATGCACTATTATCCTTAGCAAACAGTTGCTTCAGTTTATATATACTTGGGAATTTCCAAAATTACTTGCTCAGATAGTTTTTCCTCATGCTCACATATGCTTCACACTCTAACAATACATGATAGTCATCTTCCGCTTTCCAGCAATAAGGACATTTGTATTCCCAATTTCTCGTTCTCCATTTATATATGCCTAGTTGAAATACAGCTAAGGTTCTTCTATCCCTTTCTGAGACTTTCTCTAGATATTCTGCCAGATATTCTGTTAGATATTCTACCTGGTTCTGCTTTCTCAAACCAAGATAGGACTACAGGAGATGCTTCAAGCTCTGGAGAGCTTTTGTGATAAATGGAAGCTGGAAGTAAATATCGAAAAAACAAAGGTTATGGTCTTTAAGAAAAGAGGAGCAATAAGTAGAACTGAGAGGTGGTATTATAAGGGAAAAAAGCAAAGGTTATGGTCTTTAAGAAAAGAGGAGCAATAGGTAGAACTGAGAGGTGGTATTATAAGGGACAGAAAGTAGAAGTTGCCCCAGAGTATAGGTACCTGGGTGTGATCTTTTCTAGAACCGGCTCTTGGGGTAAAATGGGAGAATCTATGTATCATGAAGATAAACAGTTATGGATACAGCTACTATCCCTACAGAAGAATCTGCGCTTGAGTAAGCAAGTAGCTTATGCAACGAAGCTGCTAGATATGCTGGTACTCCCTGGAATACTTTATGGAGCTGAAGTATGGAGACCTAGCAAAATGAAAATGAAGCTGATCGAGGCTACACATATGAAGTTTTTGAGAGGGATTATAGCTCTTCCTAAGTGCAAGCTCAGTTGCTGTAAAATAGGAGCTAGGAAGGATCTCACTAAAAGCACCAACAAAGGATAAAGTTTTGGGAGTGTTTATGGGAAAAAGGTGATGCTTTCTTAGTAAGGGCTGCTCTCCAGGTACAGCAAAAATGGGCACTGCAAGGGAAAAACAGCTGGGGACTGTATATGCTGAACTTATTTAACGAAGTTGGACTATCATTTGCATGGAGATATAGGACCAACAAAGGATAAGGTTTTGGGAGCGTTTATGGGAAAAAGATGATGCTTTCTTAGTAAGGGCTGCTCTCCAGGTACAGCAAAAATGGGCACTGCAAGGGAAAAACAGCTGGGGACTGTAAATGCTGAACTTATTCAACGATGTTGAACTATCATTTGCATGGAGATATGGCCCAGGGGGATCATGCTTTTTGCTGACGGCAAAGAGAAGGATAGTAGATATTGAATTTCAAAAACAGTACGAAATAATAAAGCAGCAAAGAACGTTAAGCCTGTACAAAGAAGTAAAAGAAACTCCTGGTATGGCAGAATATCTAGAGAAAGTCTCAGAAAGGGACAGAAGAACCTTAGCCGTATTTCGACTAGGCTAACCGGGCTCCTACCCACCATTTTAAAGGAATAGTATGAATAAAGTTAATTTGTTCAAAACATAGCATCATCGCGAATTCGGAAGGATGAAAGCTGCAAGAGCATGAGCAATNTTTTGCTGACGGCAAAGAGAAGGATAGTAGATATTGAATTTCAAAAACAGTACGAAATAATAAAGCAGCAGAGAACATTAAGCCTGTACAAAGAAGTAAAAGAAACTCCTGGTATGGCAGAATATCTTGGTTTTGTAGATGTGAATTGTTTGATATTAGTTTAGATTGTCTTCAACTGATACTAATATTTTCCAACTTGAGTCAATATAAACTTCATCACATAAAATTCAGATAGAAACCCTGGATTTGTGGTATGGAGCAGAGGCAAAAATTGGCATAAACAAAATCATTTCCTTATGAATTGCAGGGAAAATATCCACAGGTCAGCAAACTGGTACTCAACAGATGACCAAGGCTCCTAATTCCTCAGATCTCTTCAAGAACTTGCTGCAGATTTTTATCCAGTGCCCCTTGTCAATAGAAGAAAGGATGGTTCTCTTTCGAATTTCCCATTTGTTGGATCTAATATCAATGAAGGTTAGCAAAACATCACTTGGAAACTCCTTGGCATTTGAGTGGAACCCAGCATTTGAAGACCAGCATGGTTACTTTACCATTCTGGAACATGTGCTCCCATCGTGCATGGGAATGGGAAACAAGATGCTTTTCCAACTCAGTCAAGCTGCATCCTTATGCATCAAGTATACTAAATGTTCTCCAAATTCTGAGTTTTTGAAAAGCAGTACTGTCTCTCTCCTCCAAGGTGAGTATCTGGAATATCCATACTCTTATACTTTATATGCCAACACTAAGTGAAGGTATGTGTAAATTTGATTGCTGCAGCAGTGGCATATGAAAGATGATACCAAATGTCTTTAAATTTGCAGAGGAAAAGTAAGCCCTTAGCATTTTACAAGGAAATCTTCTATAGCCTGAACTGAACAGGGACCACCCAGTATGCAGTAGTAGTTTTGGTATTACTATCAATAGAAAATTTTAACTTGATAAGCAAGGGTGAAATTGATGTGTGAACTGGTTCCTAAAGAAGTGTTTTGAGTTTTGAAGAGTTGAAGTTGAAGAAGGATTGGAAAAAATTAAAATAAATCCATATTACCATTACTTTATGCAGAGTATTTTCATCATGGAATTCAACATTCCTAAGACTGTTGGCATATTTTAACAGAAAGGGACATGAAAAGGAGTATTTTTCTGAGATCCCAGTGTCTTCTTTTACCTTTTCCACTGTGTGCTATAGAAAGTGATTCTGCTCAAGTCCTCGCATTTTTATGCATTCAGAAATCCTCCACCCTTGCTGCCATCTAGGGTCAAGTCTAACATGTCATGACTAAAATGTTCCAATGCAGTAAAGTTGAAGTTCTATTGGCAAGTCTTGCTCTTGTGGTTGTTGGATCCTAAATGGGGAACAGTCTATCCATTACCAAGATATTTGAGGTTGCACATTTGGCAAAGGTAAATGTAGGTGTTATGATGTGAAAGGAGTATTGTCAAGTCTCTCTTGCCTCTAGTTTTGAAAAGCTGATAGTAACACAAAAGTATAGCACTTACAAATAACGTTATAGTGAAATATTTCTTAAATTTTGAACATTTTAAGTGATGGGGTCATCTTTGTTACCATCCTTAAAAATTGGTGCAGCTATTGGTATCTTCCAATCACTTGGTGGAGTAATCTCTTTAGTCATGCAATGGAGTCCTCTCAACATAATTATGTTTTTCATGGTACTGATCAAGTACTTCCAAGGTTCAAAAGGGTTTTTCTAACGAAAAATTGAAGAAATTTCTGTGTAGAATATCTTTAATGAAATAGTGGTATGGAGAAAAGAACTGTACCCATTGCCAAGTGAGCCCCAATTAAGCCCATGTGAATACTTCAGATATTTTTTGTATGAACTCTTGGGATATTCCATGTGAACTCAACCAGGTAGTGTAGTTGATCATCTCTAATATCATGATAAAAATTCTCAACAATTGCAGTCTGTCCAACAACCCCAAAAATAGAATAACCTCCATCAGATTTGCATTGGCAAGGTATTGCCCCTCAAGCTTTGGGGGAAAACAGAAAAACCCCATGGATGGCAAAAATTTCCATTTCAGGAGCCATTTATTGTATGGAAATGTGCAATAGCTTCAACCAGAGCTCTTCAGTAGGTGAACTGTTTGACTCATAGAAGGAGTGGTCAAAAAGTTTTGAGAATGGGATATTAAAAATGCACACCAAGTCTCACTTACTATTTCATTTTTTAGTATGATCACCCCTAACATCAGTGCACTCATTCCATTTTTCTTTCAAAGAATCATATTCCCAATAAAATAAATTCCTGTGACTTCTCCTCAAACCATGTCTCCACAGCATCTGTCAATGAGTTATTATCAGCAGATCAGGTGCCATGGAGGTGAGACTTCAGGTGTTGACTTCAATAGTCACTTGGAGCCAGGTCTGGGCTATAGGGGGGATGGTTCAGCTGTTCAAACCCACAGTCATGAGTTTCAGCCTGAGCAACACAAGCTTTGTGAAGAGGAGCATTGCCATGCAAAAGCAAAACACAACATTCACACAAACATGTCAATATTCCTCACCTTTTACTCTTGATGGCTTGCCTCAATTTCAGCATCAAGTTGGCATAATACTGGCCAGAAATAGTGGTTTTATGAGGTATGTAGTCAATCAGCAAAAGTCCTTTGAATCCCAAAAAATCATGGCCATGATATTGCCATCTGATGGTTGGGTGCAGAATTTCTTTGGAGAAGGTGAGTCTGGGTGCTTCTACTGCATGGACTCAAGCTTGGTTTCTGGATTCAAGAGGTGAATCCAAGTTTCATCCCCAGTCACTAATTGGGAATGAAAGTTAGCTGAGTCAGCATTGAAGAGAGCCAGAAGCTCATTACTTGACTCAATCTGCTGATGATGATCATGAGCACTGAGGTTTTAGGGGACCCATTGATCAGACACCTTGGATATGCTTCAAAAAGTTCATGAATAATTGTCAAAACACTTCCATAAGAAATTCCAGCCTTCTTCTTGGTCTCTACCAATTTAATTTGCCGATTGCCAATCACCATTGCCTCGATACAAGCAACTGTTTCATGATTGATTGCATCATTGGGTCGCCCAGATCTTGGGTCATCTTCGACTGACTCACTGAACCATCTTGCCACTGTTGAGTAACTCAGAGCACCTGCTCCATACACAATCACTATGCGTTCATGAATTTGCTTTGTGTTATTGCCTTCTTTAGACAAAAATTTGATGACACTTTGATGCTTGACTTTCTCATGCATGGAACCTGAAACAAAATATTATTAAATTATTGATATATGACTTACAGAAATCTGCAAAATCGTATGATTAGTACATCCAGATGAGGCTTTAAAATAAGCCTCTCATTAGATCAGTGCAACCACTTTTAGTACCTTGTTCTCAAAACTTTTTGACTGTTCCTTGTACATCCTTTAAGTTTGAAATAAGGTTCCAGCATCATACTTGAGTTTGAAAACATGAAATTTATGCAATTATTACCCCCCAATATCCCTGTGCCCAGGGAAAAGACAAATCTCTCATTACAGTAAGTTGCACTCCTTTTTCAGTTGCATTGATGAATCAAGTTACCTGTTTGATTTTTGGTCTGCTACATAGAGAAAAATTCACCTAAAAATTGGAAATTTCTCATTTTTGGCCATCTTTGGTGGAGTTTGTTTCAATGTGACAGAGCACTTATGGTATCAAGCATAGTGTCATTAGAAAGGTGAACTTGTCTTTCCAACAGTATACAATTTGGTGTCTTCGAATATTATTCTTTTTTTATTTGTTAAAAGTTGAATAATTCACATTTTCTTCAAGTAGTTGAATATAGTTTCATGACATACTGCTAGAAAGGTCTTTCAGAGCTTTATGCAATATTATGAGTAAATCAGTCATGTGCAAAAGAATTCAACATTATGAGAATCAAATTTTCATTCACCTTAGATGTCTCTATGTGGGGATTGGTGAAGAACATGTATAATCCAAAGAAAATCAGCATACTGACAAAATCAGCTGAAATGGGAACAAATATCATCACATAGAACTCTGAAAAACCTTTATAGTGATATATCACCTGACTATATTCAGCTGCTTGAAGAAAATATATATATATTTGGACTTTGACAAATAAAAAATGTACTATTTCAAAAAGACGTGCCTAATCGTATATCATTGGAAAGATCTCATGCTCATCTTTCTGATGAGACTATGATTGACCCTGTAAGTGCTCCACCACATAGAAAAATACTCAATCAAAGTGACCAAAAATGAGAAAGTTACATTATTTCTGTTGCATTTTTTTTTCATATATTGGACCAAATGTCAAACAGATAACTTGCCTTATTGATGCACCTAAAATAGGGGTGCAACTTAATGAGAGATTTGTCTTTTCCCTCACCACATGGGGATATTTGTTGTAAAACTTGCCAATATTTCACATTTTCAAGCTCAAGAATGATGCTGAAATTCATTCAAACCCGTAGGATGTGTGGATCAAATTTTTCACCTATTGAAGAGCTCTGATTGAAGCTACAGCATGTCTCCGTACAATGAACAGTTCTGAGATGGAAATTATGCCTTCCATGGGGTTTTTCTGTTTTTCCCAAAGTTCAAAGGGTGACATCTTGCTTACCACATATCGGACAGAGGTTTTTTTTTGTGGGAGTGTTAGATAAATTGCAATTGCTGAAAATTTTTATTGCAAAATCAGAGATAGTTAGGTTCCATTTTATATTGATATTGTTTGAGTTCATATGGAATGACCCTCTTGTATTCACTTTGGATTGCCTGACCATTTCCTTTCATATGCAACAAAAAATTATTCTGAATGTTTTACCATTAAAACTACAGGACAAGTTTAATAACACAAGATACCAATGGACATGTATCACTTTGAGGGTATGCATTTTAGGTGTCAGAACTAGTGAACATAGGTATACAGCACCAGTACTTAACCCTTCACTGGTGCAGATGAGCTGGTCTCATCTAAAAAACAATTTGTGCCTGAAAACTTACCACTGAAGGGGAAAATGGACTTTGAACAAGTTATTGAGATAATTGTGACAAATGTAGCATATATGAAATTGCACATGAACAAAACCTCAATTTTTAATTGCATTCTATGAAAATATTTGGCTAATTCCATTAGGTTTTTCTAGATATTTTATCAATTCATCATACATATTTCCTGAGACTGGAATGATTCAGGTTCATACTATTTATGAGTTGATTCCTATTTTCAGTTTTGCAGCTGGTACAGCTGCATGATTTTGATGGTGCTTGGCAGATTCTGAATGGCAAAGCCTTCATCTGTAGGCCAGAGTTGATGAGTTTTGTGTATTTTCTCAAAGGGATCATTTTGCATTCAAGTACCAGACATCATCTTGCCATTGGTATGTATGTTATCTGTCTGTAAAAATTTGTATCAACTGAGAAAAGGGATTCTATAGTGATGGTCTGGGTGATTTGTTTATTAAACAGCTCAATTCTCTTCAGTTGAAGCATGTTGCCCATAATCCAAGTTAGCTGATTTACTCCATTGGAAATATAATGACAAATATGTTTCATCAAGCATGCTCCATAGTACTGGAATATAATAATGTAGGTCTTATAACATGAAGTTGCTGAGTACTGAATGTATTGATATAATTATTATGTTATGCTAAAATCAAATGTCTAGTTCATGGGTTTCAACCGTGAGCAGACAAATTGTCGCCGGACAAAAC